GGGGGGGGGGGGGGGGGGCGTCAACACACAGGCAGCCGGGTTAGGACTCACGTCACGACATGAAATGTATGTAGTATGCAGTTATTTCTTCGTCCTTAAAGCTCGACATCTTCAAATTGGAAAAAATCGAATGTAGATCCCCCACATCCTGGTACTTCCGCTAAGAGTCTGGTATTCATGTGGTCCGCCATTTGCGAAATTGCCACTACCGTCAACATAGAGGTTGTAGCAGGATTACGACTCACGGCACGCAGGCCTTCCCAAGATCGAGCTGCTCAAAGTCGGAAACTATCGAATGAAATTCCCCCTTATGCGCTGATACCGTTGCAAAGAGTCTGATGTTGATATTCCACGGATATTTGTTCGCCAGTTGCAAATTTGTCAGATCGTCAACAAACAGGCAGCAGGGTAAGGACTCTTGTCGCAACATGTTTTGTAGGTAATCGTCTTTCAAGATCGAGTTTTTCAAAGTCAAACCATTGTGGTGTGCAACACTCAATACTCCCATGTCCTGCCACTGCTGCTAAAATTCTGGTCTTGACAAAACTGTTTACACTTGTTGGCACACCAAGCAGCTAGATCTCGCGCTTAGGCTTTTGCCAGGTCGTCAACACACAGGCAGCACGGTAAACTCTCGAAATGTGAGCCTTTCTCCCGACTAACTCGACGTCTTCGAGATGTGACTTGTGCGTCGCCGCTAGCTGTTGGTTGGTGCAATGAGCTAGCCGCACTGAGACTGACGACTCTGCATTGGTTGGTTGGTCAGCGCGGTCGATGCTAAAATACAGACACACACGCTTTAATCCGGAAAGTAATATAACCTCGACAATGATGCCCCCCCGCAGGGTCCCAGACCATGGCCTTTAGAAGCATTTTGTGTTTTCAACCACACTGAGTTCGATGTCTCTTCATTGGTCACCGGATAGCGCCGTCGCTGCTTCCACCAATAATAGTAAAAAACAACAACACATGAGCGTTTTCAGTTTGAGACTGACGTCATATATTTTCAACAGATTACCGCGTTTGCGCGCTACCAGAAGCAAAGATATACACACATGCATGCTGACGTCTGCCCCTTGGTCAGGCGGGCAATGCCGACGAAAACACACACAACACACACCTCCGACGAAGGGAACACGAAGCCCCTGCGCTTGCACAGCCCCACCAGCTCGTCCATCGAACACCCGGGCTCACCGCCAGCGCCCCCGCCGGCAGCATCCCCCCCCTCCTCCTTATCCACGGCACCACCTTTGCCGGCGGTGTCGGCGCCGGCAGCCGATGACGCCACCATGCTTCTCCTCGTGGAGGTGGTAGCAGCTACTCTCTGGACCGTTCGGTGGGTGCGGCGGGACTGCTGCGAAGCGGAGGAACCGCTGCCGGTTCGGGCCAGGGGGTTGGGTCGCGCAAGGGTCGCCCTACCTGCGCAGGGGGGGCGGTGGTTGGGATGGAGGGCGGGGTAGAAATGATGAAGATATACACGTAGCAAACATGTCGTGGCCCCTACGTGGCAAGGCGTAAACGTGTTGTAAAGTGTGTTCACTTACTCATACATGTATGCTACGTGGCCAAAAGTACATCGCCACACGTCCTCGATGCTGTGTAGGCAGGAGGAGCGGGAGAGATACAGCGTTTCGCGTCTTACTTCCTGCTTTCAACGCTGTCTTGGCAACATTTCAAACCGGCTGCACGTGTCAAATTTGTGTTCCAAATTTGCAATGCGGTGCACCTCGTGTTCATGTGACTACATCATCCACTACTACTCTACAATCCCCGGCGAGGCAAAGTGCAGCAACGTCGTGTGCCCCTCGCCATGCCATACACGGTCATACCCGGTGCCAGTTCTACTGCTGTATTCGGTGTCCATACAGTAGTGTGTGTGCCCTGTATAGTGCCTGCATGTGCCCAGGGATTTTACCGACTATACGGGACACCGGCACTATTCCAAGTGCTGCAGTACGACTTGGTATTTCATTCAATGTGCGAGCCGAAAACATCAGCACCATTTTGTACCGGGAACTATTCGACCGGCACTAAACAGGGCCCACAACTACTACTGTACTGTACTGTACATGTCGAGGTAGTCCTATTTCGCTACATAGCCGTAGCCGTAGCCAGTGTTTGTGGACCCCTTTCTTTGTTAATTGGCAGGTCTCGTCCGTCAGAGGTGGTGTCGGCGGCCAGGCTGTTGCGCTTGCTCTATGGTATACTATTATCATATATAATGGATTGGACAAGACCGGCCAAACTGCTGTTCCAGTGGTGCGACTGGAATGCTGCTCGTGCTCTCAGATCTGTTGAACCTCGCCGAAGACACATGCCGTTGCTACGGACGTACGCTGCGGCGCTGTAGTCATGCCTCGGAAGCTACAAGGACCATCTCACAAAGAGATGCTGTACATGTTGGGGACGGGGTCTGCATAGAGCGGGGCGCGCTTTTGGTACGGGGCATTCCATCTGCTACTACGCACTGAGTGTACTACTTTCCCTTTTCGACACCAGCACGAGAATCGGGGTAAGAACATGTTGGCTCCAACTCTCCGCACTTGCCATTCCTGAAATGAGCCTTTACGCTCGAGCTACACGAAGCGCTCTCTGGTGTTGTTGATTTGCCACAAGAATTAAGTTAATACAGGTGGGGGCGAGGATGATCGTCGTACTGCAGCTCCTCAGCAATGTTACATTGTCGCAGATCGCTGCTGACAACCGGAGGGCCACTTTTCGACGCTGGCATTCATCGTTGAGTGTGCCACCGTTATCTGCCGCTGCATAACCATACAGCATGGCATCGATCTCCCACACTACTGCTGCTGTGTGCCACCTGTGTCGCTCACTGACTGCGAACGACTATCCTACACGCACACTCGCAAGGCATGTGGTTGCAAGACACAACGCATCTAACAACTTGATGTGTATGTAGTAGTAGGGTAGCACTACTCCCCAAAGTGGGAGCATCGCCACCACGTGACGCGCGTACAGCGATCAAGGCTGGGATATCTTCATCGGACAGAACCGCAGCCACAGCAGTAGACAGCTGTGCCAACTGCTGCTGCTGCTGCTGTTGCTGCTGCTGCTGCTGCTGCTGCTGCTGCGGTGCGCATGTTGCCCGCTGCGGTGCTCTCTTGCCAACCGCTTGCTCACCTGCTGACGAGGTGCTGACGCCCAGCCGGAACGCTCCGGTGTGCATGGCGAAAAAGAGGGTTGACAGAGCGGCAGCGGGGAGCCGTCGACTGCTGCTCATCTTGCTGTGTGCCGGAGCAGCTGCCTTTCCCTGTGAAAAAGAGCAAACACAGCAAAGCAATCACAGCGACCCCAGACCAAACTGCACCCACGCGGTAGGAAGATAGGGGGTCCGCAGAATACATTGTATCCCCCGTCGTGAAAATGCACCTGCAGATGGAGGGGACCCCACAGGAACGCTCTTGGCTGCCCGACACAAAAATATCGTTGGGGTAGACAGCAGTAGATATCGTGCGTATCATCAGCCTGAGCGGGTAGCAGGAGGCATGATGGGTGGGGATATCGATCACAGCGACATCCTGAACGCCCTCGACGCCAAGCGGAAGAGGTGTGTGAGGAAGTGGAGCAAGCAGGAGGACGCCGAGATGGTCAAGCTTGTGCTGGAGCTGGGAGTCAAGCAGTGGGGCCTGATCGGCTCCAGGCTGTCATCGTTGGGGGGGGACCGCACCGGCAAGCAGTGTCGCGAGAGGTGGGTCGATCAATGCCGGGCGACCCCGTAGCCTCGAAACGGGCACCTCTGACGTAGGAGATCCAGTAGTGCGTTCGCGTGTCTAACCTTGGAGTACCCCCTGCTGCTGCAATCTGCTGCTGGTAGACAAGTCGATATAGAGTAACGGAAAACATTTGCCACCCCCGCCGGCTCGGGGCCTGTAGGACCTTCACCACCGCAACGAGCACAAGCCAGGGGATGCTACCGAGAGATCGACCTCTCTGTGGGGATCTACGTGCGTGCACGCGCTCGGTTGCGGAGGTCCCGTTCCCTCGTCCCTGCGTTATTTTGTTCGGCTCGGTGGTGTGAGGTTTTTTCTCCCCAACGGCAGCAGCAGCAGTTGGGGACGAACGGGCGAGGGCCGAATTTTCTCACAGCAGCTCCGTTTGACGCATGCACCACAGGATCCCCACCTGTATTGTAGGCACAACACACTCCCCGTTGGGGGCACGTTGGATGAACATCCGCGCTAGAGGCCCCTAACAGCCTGGCATTGTAGTCATGTTGGCGAGCAAGCTCGATCGATTTTACCAAACAACAACTTTCTGGCTGTTATCTCTGTCTATGCAAGTAATATTGGCCATCCTCGGTACATGTAGTTTCACCGAGCACTGCAGTGGATCGGGCTGTTGCCTACTGCTGTTTCAGTGTGTGTGTACAGTGTACGTAGATGCAACTCAGCTCGAACTTCTGTAGGAGAGCGTTTTCCCCTATCTTTCCTCCGCCTGGCTGCCGTGTCAGTGTGTTCCAAAGAACGGGGGTTGCGGAAAGGCTATTATATAGTCTTGAGAGAGCCAAAGAAATGGAGACTTGTTTGCAAGTATCTGTCGTATATGTATGTACTGCTGTACACGTCATGTGTGTCAGCAGAAATCGCCTCTTTCATTTTCGCAAAGGTAAACACTCGCCTGCGGTTACGTGGTTGTACATCTCGAACTGGTAGCCTTTTGTTGTTGTTGTTGTTGTTGTTGTTGTTTCTCACATTAGCTCCATAGTCCACAAAAAATGGGGAGCCCGTGGTCTCAAAACCCTGCACATACGACGCCGCGGGGAAACAAATCAACAATAGGGTACAAACCACTCGGAAAAAGAAAACAAAATGATAAAAAGAAAAGAACAGCTACCGCACCGACCGTCTGTGTGATTATGTGGTTATGCATACTTTCTAGAAACACTTTTTGTTGCACATTTTTCAATTTTTGGCGAGCACGTCGAAATCTACCCTTTGAACATGTGTGTAGCTAACAAAAAAAAAATCCGCTCACCGGATCTTGAGGAACTCGTCTGTGTTGTCCAAGATTCGAGGTCAATCAGTCAAAGGCAAGACCGCCGGAGACGGTGGTAGAAGACCACCAGGCAAGTTCTTGACAGTGGTTAATGTGTGACGCCGGAAATCTGAACGAAACACATCGAAAGTTTCGGTCCGGAAAAAGAAGCCTCCGCCAACCCACTTCGGCGACAAAGGGCGGCGATCCAAGACGCGCAGCCCCAAACAGGAAGATATGGGCAAACTAAAACTGGCGCGCTGGGAGGGATACTGAACCCTTGATATGAGCGGACGTTTGGTTGCCATTTCCCCCACTGGAGGGCGGAAACTGGCTTTTTTATGCCCGACTGTGCGCACTTGACTTATTTGTACTGGCTAGTATTGTTTGTATTGAGCTCTCTTTACGAATTACTCTGTATTTACCCATATGTATAGAGACGATTGTCTCCCGGTTGGCTGATGTGTCTGATGGGACGAGCCCTTTCGAGTACAAATGAGGTCCAACCTCTCATGAGAGACGAAGAACGGATGTACGAAGAGGTTTTTTGAGAGAGGGGGTAGCTGGCCCGCTGTAGATACTTGTCCGTGGCACGCAGCCCGAAGGCAGATCTCCGACAGGTCGTCTTCTCACGTCACCATCTACGAGACATCGTGAGGTGACGCTCACATGGATATGCGGCAAACTGGATAGAGATCACGAAACATAGGAGGATTGTCGCCCACGGCCCCTCTTTCGCCGATCCTTAGGGAGCTTTCGGAGAGAACCCCCCTCTCCTGCTGGTGCAGACATCAGATGAGACGAATATCTTAAAGTTAAGCGATCCACCCCAGGAAATATTCCTACGAAAAACCTTCAAACCGCTCCTCTTGCTGTATCTTTTTGCCAGGTGGCACAATCAGTTGGACCCTGCCATCAAGAAGGATCCCTGGACGAAGGCGGAGGAAGACACCCTCATGCGCGCCCACAGCATACACGGGAACAAGTGGGCCGAGATCGCCAAGATACTCCCCGGCAGGACGGATAATGCCATCAAGAATCACTGGAACTCCGCCAAGCGACGGTAATTCTGAAACCGCCTTCTCGAGGAGGAATATTTAGTTGTCTACAAAGTAGAGAGGGGGTTTCGTAACCGTTAGCCCCTACTATCACCAAGATTGATGTCCTCGCGAAGACTACAAGTTTACGACCCCCAGCCCCTCAAGAACGCAGTCGGGTTGTGTTGTACGGCTGGCCACGAGAACGACGTCTCGTTCTTGTGTTTGCATGCAGTGGGGATTACAACGTCGACAAGATCAGTGCTCCCCTTTGCGCGGTGGCCATTGCCGTTTGACTCCGTCCGTCATAGAGTGATCTGTTTTCGCTCAAGACCTTCATCCCCTCCCCCCCAACCTGTTCTCCGTCCTCTCGAGGACGCGCGGTCATTGGCCCAACCGCTAAGGCACGAGTTCCACCTCCCTTCCCCGCCGCCTCTGCGCGTCCAGCCTCTCTCGCCAGCTGAACATGAGCGTCAACAGCGTGTTGGATCGACGACAGTCAGTGTCTTCGTCGGGCGGGGACGAGGACGAGCCTCATCCGGCAACGCGTCCGAGAGGGATCAGCGGAGGGAGTCGAGGCCCGACCGCGGCTGCAGCAGGAGGTGGCACCGGCGGCGGAGTAGGCATGACGGTAGAAACTGGTGGTGACGACAGCGGTGGTCGGAATCAGGGTCGTTGTAGGGGGTACAGCAGGAGAGACGCGGCTGGGACGGGTAAAGAGGGGGGGAAGGGAGCCCTGGACGTAGGCGGTGACGGCCGAACCTCGTCACCAACCTCGGTGGCTGAGTTTGCTCTGTCGGCGGCTGGGCTGGGGTGTAACGGCTTCCCGGCTCAACCGCAACCGCGACCGCAGCAGCAGCAGCAGCTGCAGCAGCAGCAGCAGCAGCAGCAGCTGCAGCAGCAGCAGCAGCAGCAGCAGCAGCGGCGGTATCAACGGCACCGGCGACACGAGCCAGATGAAGACGTGGCGAGTTCTAGGCACGGCGCTAACGGTGGCAGCAGCAGCAGCAGCAGCGGCAGCAGCGGCAGCAGCGGCAGCAGCAACCAACGGCCAGCGCGACCACCACCCACCACTGCGGGAGGGCGTGCCGGTGACTGCGGCGATGGCTCCACGAAGCAGGACAGGAGGGAAGGACCGGCCGCGGGTGAAGGCTGTGGGGCAGGCGAGGGCGCCCGGACCTCGGCGGACATGATGTCGGCCCAGGCGTTGTTTGGGAAGAGCATCCCGGGTCTGACATCCTTCGGTAAGGTTAAGGCGTGTGTTG